TTTTTTTGACCGTGACACAGAATAGCGCTTTAGTATTAAGAGCGCCCACAACGTCGTTGTTGATATCAAATCAATTAGAAAAACCTAAGTTTTATAAGAACGATTCAACTGACGATGGTACGTATGTAAAATAAAGTTGTTGATAAATAAATTTATAATAATGATACTAACGCGAAATTTTATGAGTGAAATAGTGATGGCGCAAAATTTTGGCGGTACTATGGTCTTCAAGTCAAATCGAATCGCAAGCGTCCAAAAAAATAATATCCTGAACATTAAGATTCGAAAATTCAATATTACTGTATTACTGAAACTAAAAACGCGAAAATTATCAAAATAACTATATGTCACCGTGATTAGTTAAAGTTTATAGAACCCCTTGGTTCAATTTGGAACATCAATAGCTCGGAGGCCATGGTATCGCCAAATTTTTGCGACATTATTTCACTCAATTTCACTCAAATTTTATAGTAGATTCCTATAATAAAAATAAAAAACTTAAATATAATTATCATACTTACAATCAAGGTATAGTTCCTCTGTTTTTAATTCTATTATGTAGGAACACCATGTTAGGGTATAATTCGATACAATAACTATTACTGTGTAAGTTTTATTAATAATTAATTTATAAATTGTTAAATTTTTAGATAATTATAAATCACTGCAATTTAACTTTGATATTAATTTATAAATTTAATTTATAAAGTGAATATTAATATTTTAAAATTGTATTAGTTGTTAGTTTTTTGTTTGGCTATTAGATTTATTATAAAACGTATCCATGGTGGTATATTTTTATTATATTTCTTGGATTTCGAAATTTTATTAGTTTTGTATTTAAAAATTTTAATACAAATTTTTTTTTATTAGAGTTGGTATTTAGAGTTAGAAATAGGGTTTTGGAAGGGCGTAGAAGAACATTTTGCACCGATTAATTAGCTAGTTTTTATTCATAGATATAAAATACCATGATGTGTTTTAGTAAAAATTGACTACTAAATTATTTTCTTATTAAGTTATTTATTATTATTAAATATTTAATTAAAATATATAGTATTTATTTTTTTAGTATAAACCAAGTTTACACAACATCTAGCTTAATATAATTCTATATTATAAACTTAAATCCAACCGTAAATTATCTATTAACTAAATAAATATTAATATTTTTGCTATATTATTTTATAGAAATTTAATTTTTAGATTCAAAATTCACTTTGTTACAGTTTACACCAAAGGTTTTAAGTATTTATATGGTATTAATTTATTAATAACTAAAATAAAATACTTAATTTTGCATAAGTTTGAATAATAAATAATATTATAGGTAAAATAAAAAAACAATAAATATAATTAAATATAAAAATTGCCCTAATTATTTCACCCAATATATAATAACTATAAAATACTATTAGATAATAATTTGTGAATAATTTTTAATATAAATTGTTTAGTAATACATATTTCTCACTTTCATTTTTGCCTTTAATATTATAATATTGATAACTATACTTCTGTATAATTTTTAAAATAATCAACGCCATCCAACTATTATATATTTTAAATGTAGTACTAAAGCAGAAAATTTTGCTTACAAACTTTCTAGTTTATTTATTTTCAATCCGTATAATGTTAGAAGAACCTATATTTCCCATTGCTATATTGATAATAATGCTAAATTAGTATAATATCCGGCTTATAAATTAATAAAGATATGTTAACTATTAAACATATCTGCTAACTATTAAAATTAAAGCCTTGATTTAATTTCCAAATTCTTAGTATATAATTGATCAAACACTTTTTTGTATTGTTGTGCTATTACATTTCTTTTAGCTTTGAGTCTATTATTGAAATAGAATATTAGTCTTGACATTAATATTAAGTTAAATATTAAGCTAATTCAAAAAAATAACTTACGTTGAAGTTAAGAGTCCATTTTCAACAGAAAACGGCTCAGTATCCAAATATATCGCTTTAACTTGTTCAAATCTAAATAAATATAAATATTCAATAATTAGTATATTTAACATGCATGCTATAATGGAATAAAATAAAGCCAACCCTTTGAGCCCATTATTTTTTCCATGTTCTTTCAAATGTTTTAACAATTCATTAATAATAACTTTATTTTTTGCTAATGTTTCATAATCCAGATCTCCAACAATTTTATTTGCCCATGGAATAAAATGTATCTTATTTGGAATAATTATTGCGACTAAAAAGGATTGAAACCCATCACCATAAATAAAGATTTGGAATATTAAAGAGTTTTTAAGATATATATTTTCAATCTTATTAAAAAGAAATTTATAATTAGTAATGTTAAAAATCTAATTAATATTATATAATTCTATGGCAAAAGGTGATAACAAAACTATATAAATTTTTAGTTAACGGCAAAGTTATTGATTGCAGCATTATAGCATTTTAGTTGGTGTATTTATTTGAAACATACGTAGTATTTGAGCACAATTTATATCAAAATGCAGATTAAAGCATCATGAAATAATTTTATCATCAAAAACTATAATATATAATCCCATTATCACTTTTTGTTATTGTAAAAAAATAAATAAAAAAATAAAATATTTACTTTTTTCAGGTGCAATATATTCGCCTTGAGATAGTTTAAATATATTTTTAATTCTATCAATAATTTTTAAACAACCACCACGGTCATCAAACTCTCCAATATCTCCTGTATGTAACCATCCCTCCTATGATATTCAAAATTAAAGTTAAATCTATAATTATAAAACATGTTTATATAATAACAACAAACCTCATCAATAGTTTCCTTTGTTCTTCTTTCATCTTTGAAATAACCTTTCATAATTGATGCACCTCTAAGACAAATTTCACCTCTTGGATTTGGTTTATCAGTACTGTAATAATCTAAGGATGGAACGTCTACAAGTTTGATTTCAAGACTTTTTGCAAAAAAAAATCTTTTTTATAAGAATTATTAATCGTAATAATTAAAAATACACTTCATTACCTTGGTGCTGGTGCTCCTACATGAGATGTTGAGAGATCACCAACTAAGACTCTTGCCCCTGATCCTGTAGATTCTGTTTGCCCATATCCTTTAGGTATGTAAAAACCATTAAGAATTATTCAAAAAATAATAAATACAACGTATAAATATGTGATATTATATACCTCTATCAAAAATAACACCAAGAGCTATTCTTAAAAACTCCACAACATCATCACTTAATGGTGCTGCAGCGCTAAACAAACGCCTCATATTTGGACCAAAGATCTTGCCAATCTTTTTTTCTGCAAATTTGTCCCATTCCTCATATTTCAACTCGCCAGTTTTTTTAAAATGCTCCAACTTTTTCTGATACAAACGCCTTGCTATTTCTCCCTCTTCACCAGCCGCATCAATTGTAACGGCTCTTAAGTTTTTATATAATTTGTTAAATATTTTAGGTACACTCGGGAATGACATAGGTTGTAAAACTCGAATATCCTCAAATAATCGATTTTGATCTCCACTAAAATAACCAATTGAGATACCACGCATTATTGCTGAGTATTCTGCTTTGAGAGCATATACATGAGCCAAAGGCAGATGAGAGATTATTCGAGACCCTGGAGGCTCTTCAGGATAGTCAACAGGCAAACACATTGTTGCTACGAAATTTCTATGACTTATCATTACACCTTTAGGTATATCAGTCGTCCCTGAAGTATACATGATTATAAATAAATCATCGGGTTGAGGTGGAACATGCTTCCTAAAATGTTGCTGACCAAACTTCTCAATTTGTGTAAATTCATATAGGTGGATATTTTTTTGAAATGCTTCAAGATATAGAGATTTACCAACTGGATCTTCAAGAGAATCAATTGATATTATAGCTTTTAAGAATGGAAGCTTTTCGGAGAGATTTAACAGGTATTTGATGTGTGATTTAG